TTGCAGCGCGTTTCTTCATTTGCATGTGTTGTGAGGATTTGCAGCGCGTGTGTTGTCAAACTGATGAAGATGTTTTCTTAATTTGCTGGTGTTTTTTCAATTTGCATGTGTTTTCTTAAGTTACAGCGCGTTGAGCTCTCTCGGCCACCGTAGTTTTACCTATAAAATCAAGCTTTGTGTTTCCTGGTCACACCAACAGAGCTATGTGCACCGTTTACTCTGTCTCTAAAAGTCCCAGTGGGGCTTACGGACAATAAAACCGTCATCTTTTCATTGTGAAAAATAACCTACATGCTTCTTAAATCTTTGGGGTTGAATCTATCTGGTTATAGTGCTAAACAAGGGCAGACCTATAACACTTTACAGATAGAAAGCATCTCGGGTTACGATGTAACCATGGTTCCCCGAGAGGGATCGAGGTGCTGCGCCCCCTAGGGGGCACATTGGGGAATGCAGCCTGCATGACCGGTGTCTGAAGCACGTGTGAAACAACGCCAATCTATTGGCCCACCTGGCCCATGGCGTCATAGGTGGGATGCCCGTAAGTATAAAAGGGCACCTGCTGAATACGTCATCCACTTTAGCTGTCTAAAGGAGATGTAGATAGGCAGGCCAAAGGCATGGCAAGGGGGCACAGTGTCTCGTTCCCTCTCGGGGAATCATGGTTACATGCGTAACCCGAGACGTTCCCCTTCTAGGGAACTCAACGCTGCGCCCCCTAGGGGGCACATTGGGGAACGAAATCCAATCACGCCGTGCCGAGGCGCATGCCTGTCCACCTGGTGGGAGAGCACCAAGGAAACGACAGACATAAAGCCTTTCCTCAGAAAGGTGCCATGCCACTAACGCCACAGGCCTCTCACGCAACTTGGCAGAAATGGGAGAACCCGAATAAATCAAGGGGAACATCCCATCCAAGTTAAGAGCACAGCTATCCTCAGATAGCTATGCTATGTGAGCAGAACTAGCCTGGATACACAAAACCACTGAGGAGGCCAACTAGAAAGCCTCTAGGGGAGTTCAAAAGATGCTACTTAAATCCCAGGTAAAGAGAGTAGCTGCT